TTTTGTTTAAGAATTAATTTGTTATTAATAAAGATGTAAATTTTTTGGTTAATTAAATAATTAATGATGTAATGTTTATGTAATTGATAAATAATTAGATGTGTGATTTTGATGTTGTGATATAAGTTGGTGAGATTGAAGAAAATAAGTAAAAGTTGACAAATTTGGAGAAATGGCTAAATTGTAAGGGATCCAAAGTTCGGGGACTAAAATGTAAATACTTAAAAGCTGTGCCGAATTTCACGATGAAGATTTGAGAGTGCTCGGAGTCAATTGGATAAAGGAAGACGTCAAGATGATTAAATTTAGTCAAAAGATGATCACAAATCAATTTTCAACAGAAAATTTATGCTCCAGTGTTTTAGTCTCATATTAAGACCTATTTTTGACATGGAAAGTGATCGAATTGGAGAANGCTCCGATGTTTTAATCTCATATTGAGACCTATTTTTGGCATAGAAAGTGATCAAATTGGACAATGATGTCTGAATCAAAATTGTAGTCAGATGAGTTAGCTTTCCAACGCATTTTGAATCGCCTCAATCGGACATCAGAATACAAAGTTGTGATAAAAACACTGAAAGAAGGTGCAGCTGTCTGGTTAAAACAAGAAATTCCGTTACATAGTCCGTTAAAACAACAAATTCCGTTAGTTTTTCCGTTAAAAACAAGAAATTCCGTTATATAGTCACTTTTAATATATAGAAGAGATGATTACCCTTTTAATAATTTATTTATGACTTATTTGTACTTTTAAAAAAATTTTGGGAATGTGATTACAATTAACTTTTTTTCTTTTTGTTTTATTTAAAGAGGGGTGTATATTTGTCATTTCATGATTTTTAATTGAGAAAATAAATAAAAACGATCTTTGCACAATAAAATGCGAAAATAATGATAAAAATGTCAAAAATTGAAAAATATGAACGTTTTTCACAATAATAACGAAAAGTGGGGGACGTATGTCCTAATTACCTTTTACAAAATCTCCCAAAACTATTGCGAAACCCAAAAAAGATAGCGAGAAAAATCAAGGTACGACAAAAAGATTCGAAAAAGGAGCGAAGAGGAATATACAGCACACAACTCTATACAAAATTGTAGAAACAAAAAAGTGAATGAACATACAACACATCGCACGAAGTAAGACAGCCAAAACCGCTGCTTTCTCTACCCTATTTTCTGTATTCAAGATTCTAATGGCATGTCTGTCTTTCTGTTCATCTATACAATAGATATACTTACATCTTTACTTTGAAATTTGAATAGGGTTCTTGTTTCTTGACAATTTCAGCTGGTTCGTGAGTTAAAAATGGACTTGAGAACAATGATTTTGGGGCATTTTTTGGTGATTTCTTTGGCTTTGAATGTGGGATTCTTGTACAGAGATTACTGCAAGGGGAATCGCCATTATCAAGAATTTTTCGGCTCCAAAAATGAGTGCAAAAATGCTTCTGTGACTCTTCTTGAAGCATCACCACAGCCATTTTCATCTTCTTCGTCTTCAAAAGCTTTTGATGGGATTATCGATCTTGATCAGTAAGTCTATTATTTTATTTATTTCCCACTTAATCCTTTCATCTATCTTTTTTTTTCCTTAATGTGGGGTTGTCGTTCTGATCTTCATTCTAGTTTCCTTTGTATTAAATCATCTTCGAGTTTTTAAACGAGTCAGACCAACGAAGTGACATGAAACGGTTTTTATAGTCTGTTCGACTTGTTCATAGTTTTCGAGCTTTGGTCTTCAAAACTTATAGATGGCACGATTTTTGGCGGATGGATTTGAACTTAAGATATTTCTATGTTTAACACACATTCGCGACACCAAGTTTAATTTTTTCGTAAGCAAGAGTGACTCGGGCACGTTTACATTTTCTCGTAGACAGATTTTTGAATAAAGATGAAAAACATAAACCAATTTATAAGGGTTTGCGTTGCTCTTAATAATATTGACATTTTGAGATGCAATTCCAAATTTTAACGTGGTATCAGAGCCCATTAAGTTTCAACGAGCGATTCGATCCGACTCAACGAAATTGAGTACACGAATTTCAAGATTGATTTACTCAAACGAGACACTATCTTGTTGGAATATGTTAAGGGATAGAATTTCACGTCAAATAAAGATTGAAAATATAGATCAATTTATAAAGATTTGAACTACTGTTAATAAAATTTATGGAAGCACAAATCTTTATAGATTTGAATTCAGGATGTATGTGTGATCAATGTGTTCTCGAAGTTCGAAATCATATTGTGCAAACCGGTCAGCTTTATCCCACAAATTGCAACTTTCTGAGTGGGGAATTGGTACTTGTAAGTGACCTTTTAAGTATTTTAATAGATAAAAGAATTAAGTACTTAATTGGGTGAAACAGAATTATCTTGGTAGCTTTAGTCACCACTGCTACGATTCCCTAACGTGCGCATAGGGGTTTACGTTTTGTCAGTTCAGAGAAGGAACTTGTTCTGCTGGCTTGTGAATTCCCACCGTGTATTTATAAAGTAAAAGGCAAAAATAAGTGCTTATTGAATTCATTCATGTTTGATATTTTCAAAGTAGTGTTGTACTGCTAGCATGCATGATAGCACCATGGACGATCTTCCTTGATTCTCCCATTGACCAGTATGGTCATTCTTGTGTTATGCACTTGTTTGGGTTTTGTGAAAGTTAATTAATTAATTAAGGAAATTGTTAATTCCATTTCTAGGTTAATTAAGAATAATGCTATTCATCCCCACTGAAGTTGAGCATCAGTTTATGTGGTAATTATATGACATTAAATGGTAGACTCAATTAAATGAGTCATGTGACTTGAATCTATCATTTAATATCATGTAATTGCCACATAGATTGAGGCTCAACCCCAGTGGGAATGAATAGCATTACTCGTTAATTAAGTGCTCCACTACATTAGTGGAGTGTGAGGAATTGTGTTTGGGAAGCTTATTTTCGAGTTAATTTCTATAAGTCAATTTGAAATCCGATTCCACCGCATTAACCTAAAGTGACTTATGGTATTGAAGGAAAGTTTTGTTTAAGAATTAGCTCTCCGTTCTCTATAATTGGGTGGGATTAGTGGACCACGAGAAGTTAAATTAAAAAGTACGAGCCACCGTTTTAACTTAATGTCACTTTTAGCCCCCGTTTGTCATCTATTTCTAAGAGTAAGAGTAATAAAAAGATTTTCTTCATTTCAACCACACATTCTATCAATAAAATAATACTACACATAAATTTAAAAATTCTCATTACTTTTTAATCACACATTCTTTCATCAATCACTATTCAAAAACTAATTTTTCTATTAAAATGGGTGTTAAACACCCCCTTATTCTACATATATGAAATGCATCTTTGTGGGTCATTTTTACTTTTTGCATTTGCTACATTTGGACCCCCTTTGTCCTTTGAGATCCTTTAAAGATTGCAGACTGTACACTTTAATAATTAGTACCTTTTTTAATATGTGGAACTGCAGCACGACAAATTCTTGGTTGCATTTTTACTGTCAAGTGAAATAATTTACTTTCCCGGATGTTAATGAATAGACTGTGCACTTTAATAATTAGTACCTTTTTTAATATGTGGAACTGCAGCACGACAAATTCTTGGTTGCATTTTTTCTGTCAAGTGAAATGATTTACTTTCCCGGTTGTTAATGAAAATTACATCCTAGATTTTGTTACATTTGGACCCCCTTTGTCCTTTGAGATCCCATAAAGATTGTAAAATGTACACTTTAATCATTAGGACCTTACTTTATATGTAACGCTACGTGGAACCTTAGCACGGCAAATTCTTGGTTGCAGTTTTACGGCCAAGTTTGATGATTTACTTGCCCCGTCGTTAATGAAAATTTACATCCTAGATTGTGATACTTCTACAATGATTGTAGACACTCCGAAATGAATATTGGACCTAACTTGTCGTTTGTCTAATCATTTGATCATCTGATGGAGAATGACCGACATGTGGCCTACGTTCCATCCCATATTGAATCATAATGCAACGTTCCTCGATTATGGACCATCCCTTGATTAGGTGATGTTATATCATGCACTTTATCGTGTTACAGCCCATGCCTTTATTAATTTTGCTGCAGATATCTTAAATTCGTAATGCGCGCATAAGTTTTCTTGTTCCTACCATTATTGTAGACAAGAGTTGGAACCATAAGTTATGGTTATTGTCAGAACATAGCATCTTTTGTGACATTATGTAATGAAATTAATATGTGCATGACCCTATGCAGTGGAGATCCGACAATGTACGAGAAATATTGGCAGCAGATGGGGGACAAAGCTACAGTTGTGATTAATGGCTGGCAATTCATAAGTTATTTTTCTGATGTTAGAAAAGTTTGCTGGTTTTTAGAGCCGGAATTTGCAAACGCGATTATTAGGTTGCACAAATTAGTCGGAAATGCTATTACTGAAGACCGATACATTGTTGTTGGGACGGGTTCTACACAACTCTTCCAGGCCTTGCTGTATGCTGTCTCTCCACCGAATTCTTCCGAGCCAATCAGTGTGGTGTCTGCTGCACCATTTTACTCGGTGAGACGGTATATTAAATTATCCACAACAATGCTTACTTATTTTACAGAACTTTCTGAACTGAATAATTGTTACTTAAAAATATTGTAAAAGGACAGAACAATTCTTGCGATTCAAGGATATTTCACAATGTAGTGTGACACACTCCATTCAATGCATAAAGGATTTTGCTTCATTGCATTAATGAAATTCGATGCCGTCGTGATCTTCTTCGACAGAATATTTTGGAACTCACAAACTTTCTTGTTATCGAATCCGAACCAAGTCAAACACTATTGTAAACAACTTTTAACATTCTTTGGTTTCTATATTGGGTTCATTTACTACTCCTTTAGAGGAGTGTAGTGTAATTTCAATAATTTGCTGGAAGGTTAATTCTTGTAGAAGCTACACAATGTTTACAGATAAAAATTTTATTGAATACAATTTTATGATAAATGCTTATATAATTTAAGCTATTATTTTGACTGGAAAGAAGTTCTGGAACCCTTTTTTCTGTTGAAGTTTTAACTCTGAAACTGTAATCGCCTGCAGTCATACCCATTGATTACAGACTTTCTGAAGTCTGGACTACATAAATGGGCAGGCGATGCCTACACGTTTAACAAAGACGAGCCTTATATTGAACTAGTGACGTCCCCAAATAATCCCGATGGCTTTCCAAGACAAGCTGTAGTCAATCAAAAGCAAGGAATACTGATTCATGATTTTGCTTACTACTGGCCACAGTACATTCCAATCTCTTCTCCTGCAGATCATGATATCATGTTATTTACTGTCTCTAAGAGCACTGGCCATGCTGGATCACGCACCGGGTAAGCTATGCAATTTGATAATATATTCAAAATTCTCTTTTATTTTTGCTCTCCACTTGTTAAATTCAGTTGCTTCAGATCATGCTTTTTAGATTTGTTGGACTTGCATATTTTTTTATTTCTAGCATGTTTAGCTAAGCTTAAAAGTTACTTTTAATAAACTATTCGTGCAGAACATGTTTGATCTTTTCTGAAAGTTGCTTTTTTCGGAGAATTTCCAAAAAATTACTATTACTTTTTTGAAGCTAGGAAACATTGCTTATACTTATTCCTTACTATTCAACTCGAATAAAATGCTGAAAATGGTTGGGATCATTTACGAGTATCACATACATCTTGCAGTTGGGCTCTTGTCAAAGATATAGAGATTGCGAAGAAAATGACTGAATTTATCGTGCTTAGCACCATAGGCGTGTCCAAAGACTCTCAAATTCGTGCAGCAAAAATCTTGCAAGTTGTATCCGATAGCCACCAATATAAAGGCGACTTCAAGGAAGGTCAAGCCTTCTTTGAACGTAACTATAGCCACATGGCAAGGAGGTGGAAACAACTTAGAGATGCCGTGAATATGAGCAAGCTCTTTAGTTTGCCGGACTTCCCAACTAGCTCGTGCACCTTTAGTGGCCACACTTTTGGATCACAACCCGGTAATTATTTTTGTTTTTTGGATTAAAGTTTTGTCTACAAATTTGTCTTATGCTATTCCATTTACTTTTACTTTTCCTTGCTTTAGCTTTTGCTTGGCTCAAATGTGAAGGAGAGATCGATGATTGTGAAAGCTTTCTTCGTGGTCACAAGATATTAACAAGGGGTGGAAAGCATTTTGGCAGTAGTGAAAAGTACGTTAGAATCAGCATGTTACCTCGTGATGAAACGTTTAATCAATTTACTGAGAGATTGTCTAGTATTAGTTCATCGTAGTCCTTGATTATGCTTATTTTCATAGAGAAGTTTAGGCATACGGTACTTGGAAAAACAAATATTTTCCACGATCTTTATATATATTTTGTAGTTTCTGAAATCATTCATCACCATGTTTCATGATCTGTGTGTATACAAGGATGAGCTCATGAGCAGTGAGTAGACATGAATGTTGATAAAGCCCAAAGAATAACGCAGTAGTTGTAGCATAGTTTTGGGGTGTCGATTTCACGGGGAAATGGAAATATTTAAAGGATTCGAAAGGTGAATGTTCTTTTAAATGTGTGAAAATAATTTATTTGTTTGAATGAAAATAAAATGAAGATTTGAAATAGTAAAACGTCAAAATTCGCTCAATTGGATTGGATCATTTAATAGCATTCATACTTTTTTTACTAGGAAAAGATTCAAAAACAACCATATATTTAAAACATAAAGCAGTAATGAATCATACCGGTAAAAATAGATAGGATTTTACTACATATACATAAAAAATGCATATAATAGATTACATAATATAATGTGGAGAGAAAAGATTGATTGTGTTTTAGTTGGCAAATTGTAGAATGTTTTGTGCACTTATTACACCCTCTAATTTGCTTATTGCTAGTCCGTTGCACTTCTATGCAAAACAAGACAATCAATTAATGATTCATAATATAAATTCATGTTTGACACCCATTTTGGAGAAAAATTTAATTTGGAATAGTAATTGATGGAAGAATGTGTGATTAAAAAGTAAGGAGAATTTTTGGGTTTATGTGTAATATTATTTTATTGATAGAATGTGTGGTTGAATGAAGAAATAAGCAAGAGAAAAAAAATGGATGTCAAACAAGTGCTAATTTAAATAATCAAGTTCCAATTTAACTACAATTCATGCCTTTTGAACTCGGCATTAAAAAAAGTTAATAGTGTCATCAATATCAGGATATCAAAAGTACTTACAGAATTTGTGAGTGCGTGCCAAGCCATAGCCGTTTTATCACCTACCTTAACACATGTAACATCAAGTGTATCTCAAGCTAAAAGTTCAACTCCTGAACTCAAGAGTATTACAATGTTTAGTGTAAGGGTTCTCTCAAGGAACTGACAAAAAATGTACGCTCAAAAACTTGGAGGTTTCTGAACAAGCAACAAGCAAACATCGATCTTATGATTGGAACACTATCAAATGAGAATTCATCCATTTTTTCCACAATTTTACTTTGTATCAAAACAGTCAATGCAAAATTTTGTAATGAGACTTAGGTTGGGCTACATGAAAAGGAGAGCACAAGGATTCAAAGACTTCCAAATACATAACTAAGGATCTCATCAAGCATTTCAATAGACCACATCCTTTAATCAATGCATTTTTCAACATTTCAATCCTCAAAATCAACCCTTTTTTTTTTCCTACTTGTTCTCTCTTTTTTTTCTTCTACCTTTTAGGCCGCTTCACTTGAACATTTGCCAACTCTTGTCTTTTTCCTTGCTTTTATTCTTCGAATAAACTTCCAATATCTAATACACACTTGGAAGTATAAATTCTATGGACAACTCGATACTTTTTCATTAGTACTTCAAATGAACAGTTGCATAAGTGTGTGCCTCCTTCATTAGCAATAGCTTGGGGTGCGACAAACTTAGACAAAACATTTTCTTTATGAAATTTAACAATCGTTTTATTATCATTGGCCCTACAAGTTGTTGCCTCTACTCATTCATACACATAATCTACTTCCACAATGATTATAAGTAACCAAAAAAGGTGGAAAGGGTCCCATAAAGTCTATTCCCAAACAATAAAATATTTATATCACTAAAATGGAATTCAGAGCCATCATATTACACCGAGACAAAGCATCAAGTTTTTCGCACATCTCACAAGATCTACAATACGCATTAGTATCTTTAAACAAAGTGGATCAGTAACAACTGAATTACATAATTTTTGCAGCAGTCTTTTTCATGGAGAAATGACCGCCACAAGCCTGTGAATGACAAAAGTCTAGTATGCTAGGTATCTCCTCATTAGGCACACAATGCCTCAAAATCTGATCAGGGCAGTATTTGAATAGGCATGGGTTTGGACAATAATAATCTCATAACAATATTTTTGCAGCTGTCTTTTTCATGGAAAAATGGCTTCAACATGCTTGGGCATGACAGAAATTGAGCATGAGCGTCTCAACATTTGATCAGGGCAATATTTAAATAAAAATAGGTCATCTCAATAAAACTTACGTACATCAACTATGAACTTTTTCTATTTTGTGCACTCCACTCTCCTAGAATTTCACCTGCAGCCAAGTAATTTACAATGTGAACAAAACCATGGTATAGAGGAAACAGAAAATAAATGCTCATATGGAAAGTCGTCTCTAATTGGCAAGGGGTTTGTGTTGTCCTCAAAAGTTAGCCTTGACTAATTGTCTACTACTACATTTTCCACCCATTTTTTTTTATCTTTGATGGCGATGTCAAATTCTTGCAAAAGTAAAATTCACTGTATTAAACGTGCCTTAACATCATTCTTTGTGAGAAGGTACTTAAACATTATAATAGGAGAACCAATCAAATAAGAATGAAACTTATCTAGAGCAAAGATTACAACTAATAACTCTTTCTCGGTAGTGGAGTAATTCATTTAAGCATTGTTTAGAGTCCTAATAGCTTAGTAAATGAAAAAAAGACTTACCTTCCCTTCGTTGTCCATGGACAACACCTATCGCATAATCACTTGCATCACATATAATCTCAAATGGCAATATCCAATCAGGTGGCTGCATTATGGGTGCTGAAGTTAGCTTGCCAATCAGTATTTCAAATTCCTCTTCGAAAGCTGGGGTCATTTAAAAATGACATATTTGGTTAGGAGGATACATAATGGTCTAGATATAAATGAAAAATTCTGTATGAACCTCCTATGGAAGCCCGCATAGCCAAGAAGTGATCTAATATCTTTTACTGTCTTTGGTATAGGCAATTTAGAGATTAGTTCAATCTTGGATTTACCAACCTCTATCCTTTTAGAAGAAATTACATGCCCTAAGACAATGCTTGAAGGTACCATGAAGTGACACTTCTTCCAATTCAAAACTAACCATTTTCCTCACATTGGTTCAAAACTCTCTCCAAATTCAGCTAGCATGCATCAAAAGAAGTCCCAAAAATAGTCGGGCCATCCATGAAGACTTCCATGCAATTTTTTACCATGTCACTAAATATGCTTATCATGTATCTTTAAAATGTAGCATGAGCATTACATAGTCCAAATGGCATCTTGCGGAATGCATAAGTACCAAAAGGACAAGTAAATATAGTCTTTTCCTGGTCTTTTAAGACTATTTTAATTTGATAATAACAAGAGTAGCCTTTTAAGAAATAGTAAAAGGGATTGCCAGCCATAAGCTCTAAAATTTGGTCCAAAAAGGGAAGAGGAAAATGGTCTTTGTGAGTGGCAGTATTCAGTTTCTTATAATCAAAGCAAATGCACCATCCATCAACGTCTTTGTGGGAACCAATTCACATACTTCATTTTTTACTACTCTGACACCTGACTTTTTAAGGACTATTCGTGTAGAACTAACCCATTTACTATCCGCAAACAGGTAAATGATACTCGAATCTAACAATTTTAATATCTCATTTTTCACCACTTCTTTCATTGTGGGGTTTAATCTACGTTGTGGGTATCTTTTATGGCTTATTCCTTCATTTAGGTGAATCATATGTGAGCAATTTAAAGGACTAATACCCTTAATGTCAGCTAGGGTCCAATCTAATGCAGGTTTATACTCATTCAAAATATTTAAAAGCTGCTTACCTAGTAATGCATTCAATTCCGAAGAGATAATTACAGAAAAGTATCACCTGGTCCAAGAAACACATGTTTCAGTCTTGGAGATAGTAGTTTCAATTCTGGTTCGGGACTTTCAATGTTTGATAGTTGTTTTCCTCCACTCCTTTCTGGCAATTTTTCAAACTTGAGCGCCATGGTTATGTCCCATAATCCTGAATTTTTGCAAAAGTAGCACAAATGTTAGCATATTACTTATTAGCACAACTTGCTGGAATTTCAAAATTTAAGAAAAAAGAGTTCAAGGGGTCAAATTAGCAATTGAAGGTGCTTCTTTCTAAGTGAGTGCATCAATCATGTATGTTTGATAGCACTCATCATTTCCCTGGCTGCTTAGAATTTGTGAAAAATGGTCTAACGAAGTTATATCTTGAAGTTCCCAAGAGATAACTTCGATAGAAAGGGTCTACCAAGAATGATAAAAATTTTAGAATCAACATTTACATCAACCTTTAAGTCTAGAACTAAGAAATCAATAGGATAGTAAAATTTATTAATTTGAACCAAAATATCATGAACTACTCCTCTTGTTCTTATAGTAGATCGATCAGCCAATTGTAAAACTACAGATGCAGGTTTTATCTCACCTAAGCCTAACAACAGGTAAATAGGATAAGGCATGAAGTTAACACTAGCCCCTAAATCAAGAAAGGCTTGTGTAAACTCACAGGTTCTAATGATGCAAGAAATGGTAGGACAACCAGGGTCATTATATTTTGGTGCGATCCTTTGCTCAATCACAACACTCGTTCAATCAAGAATGGAGTTTTCTTGACATGGTGTTTCCTCTTCACAATACACAAGTCTTTGAGGATTTTAGCATATGTAGGAACCTGTTCAATCACATGCAAAAGAGGTAGATCAATTTTCACTTGCTTGAGGTATTTTAGGATCTCAATATGTTGACCAGCAGCTTTCAATCTAAACGTAGATTTGAAAGCTTGAGGGAAGAACACTCTAGCTAGATTTTCCACTACCTCTTCACTAGGACTATTCTCTTCAAAATTACTAGAGTCCTTTTCATTTTCCCTAGACTTGGGGATTGGTTCTATAAACTTCCCAATTCGAGTGGTGATAGCATTTACTTCTTTAAGTTTGTTTTCTTCTGAACCTGAGGTTTATGCCATATGTTTTCCCTTATGATTTGTTGAGCCTA